ATCTGAACTTTACATCAGCAGATAAATGTGATAAACAGTCTATCACTAATATTAATTTACACATTTGGTGAATTTCATTAGGCAGACTTGAATTGTTAGATTTAATAGGTGTTCTTATCGACATATATTTTGTCCCTTTGATGCAGGATTTATAGAACATGATATTATGCTGAAATGCTGAATTTTCTTTGTCACTTGCGCATTAAGCCTGTCGGCAATATTCCGCCACGCCACCTGCCTTTCTTTATTAATCGCTGCATTATTGCCTTTTTCTTAATTATGTCCTTATAGTCCTCATACACTTCCATAAGGAGCGTTTGCTCCGCCGTAGAAAAAGCCTCCGCTCGCTCCTTTCCTTTGCTTTTTGACATTTTGCAACATTTTCGGCGCTCGACTAGTTTGGGCTTTTTATTTTCCCTGGGTGCGTGCATGAGTTGAGGCTTAACAGGTGAGGCTTGAATTAGCGTCAGTTGGAGCCAGCTGATTTCACTTGATGGAACGGGTTGGAGCTAGATTGGGAGTTGGCGTTTAGTCAAACTTCAAGATTACACCTTAGTCTGGATATTCTTAGCTACGTTGATGGAATACCCCCCAGGTCTCAGCTGCACTCAGTAGAATTGTCCCTCCCGGCTGCCTTACAGTCAAGATGGCGGCGAAAATTACAAAAAATTAGGACTTATTCGTCTCGTATTGTACCTAACTTTAGTGCGTCATAACGTATCAGATATGGAATTAATCTGCAGATGCCCCAGTTCAAAATGAGACCAAACTTTTCTGCAGATGTCAGCTTTTGAGCCACGACGGAGCCAAAATGTGTCCTGCAACAGACGGTAAGGCTCGTTGTTTCCAGCCAAAATGATTTCTGGAAAACTTGTCGCCCTGACCAGTGGGTTAAGAGGAGTGAGGAATCATCAGTCAGCGACGGTATCAAACAGTCAGAACAACATGTGTTTCAACATTTATGAATTGCAGGTGTCCCACTTATAAAGGCAATGTCCTTGCTGCAGCGGCCGCGGGTTCGATTCCAGCCGGTGGCCCTTTGCTGCACGTCATCCCCTCTCTCTTTCCTCCTTTCACGCTTTGATTGTCTTCTCTAAAAAAGCCAATAAATAAATCAAAAATAGGAATCACCCCAACCATGACAGGTCCTTGAGCATACACTCATATATGTGCACACAAAATATTAGGCTGACTGGTCCAGCAGTTTGCCAGATTAGCTACAAACACACAGATACACACACTCACAGCGATAATAATAAAGCAGGAAGGAGTCCACAGGCTTTAAAAACCAAATCTGAAAATCTCTCTTGTCTCTTTAAACAATCTATAACTCATTGTCTTAAGTGCATTTAGCAAGTGTCACACTCCACTTTGCTAGCTCAACAGTCCATAATCTGAGTGCAAAGTAAAGTGCAAGCAGCAAAGGGGTTGTATTTAGTCCCTTAATTGATCGTAGGTATGTTTTGGGCGTCACATGAATTCGAACAATCAGTGTCATCTCCCATTTCCTTTAAAAGCATTCTCTGCTATCTACACAGTGGGTTTGGCAAATATGTAGCAGCATGCAGCGCGTAATGCAGTCAGAGCAGTGATGTCTCTGCAGAACATATCGTGGGAAATTTAAGCAGCAAAACTAAAAACTAGTTTTAAACTTAACAGAAGAAACAGAACTAAACTTTTAGCTTCTGTAATGATTAATGAAGTTACGCTGCTCCTTGTGTGTAAATGTGCACAGCGTCTCTTAATGTGGAGTCTGACAGCGTCTCTGCAGCTCTGCTCTGATCTCTGCTACGTTCACATTTTACAGAATGTCACTGCAGTTAGAATCAGACCTAAAAATTGTAGTTTTAAACTTGACAGAGGTAACAGAACTTGTAGCCTCTGTAATGATTAATGAAGTGATGCTGTTCCTTGTGTGTAAATGTGCACGGCATCTTTCTTAATGTGGAGTCTGACAGCAGCTCTGTTCTGATCTCTGCTACATTCACATTTTACATAATGTTATTCATATTTTCCTCATTAATGAAGAATTATTTCACCCATCCACACGTCCCTGTGTGTGTAACAAGCAGAGTGTAATCTTGTTGTGAACCCGCCTTCAAAGGCACATCTTACTATCTGAATACTGCGCCCTTTAAATTGCTGGACAATACAGTGCCATTCAGACTTTAGACCAGCATTTTGTTGGTCAATGGCGCAATCACTTCCTGCTGCCTCAAAATAGCAATTTACCAACAATTAGACCGACAGGCACAGATGTGCTGCTTTGTGCCAGGTAAGAAATATGGCTCTTTATCTGTAAAGTTTTGTTTTAGCGAGACAACCCTACATATTTGATGTTATTGTCCAAATGGCTGTTGATTGGCTCAAGAGAATTGTCTTAGAGAAATACTTCACCCATCAAACTATTAAAATATCAGTTAGTGGTGCTGTGTTACCTCGAACTCATCAGGAAAACTTTGTTTTTCTAGCATACCTGCATGGATAATGGTATACATATTAATTTACTGACTGATTATGTATCACGTTTAACAACAAAAATATATCAAAACATCTGTTTACAAATGCTCACATAAAGTGAAACTTATCTACATTCTCTTTAGAGCCAGACTTCCATACTAAGGTTTTTAGGAAAAATATATGTTTGGGAAGTACTAAGCTTATACGACTGGATAAATGAGACTTAGATTATTCTGCATGAGTCATGTGAGAGTTTGTTAACGGATGTTTTGATATCGTTTTGCTGTTAATGAACGTGGACCCCAATTAATCAACAAATTAAAGTTCGCTGTTTTCTGTGGAGGCATGCGAAAAAAACAAACTAGCGTAATTTACAAACGGTCATTTTGAAGGTACTAGGAAGGAAATATTCCTTTAAAAAAAATGGCAGAGCATGTAATCTGTTAAATTATTTCAAGACATAAAAATACTCAAAATACAACACAGAGGATATTTTCATCCTGAATGGTGGAGGAAGTGTTTTAGAGCAGTGGTTGGTCGTGGTCCAAAAGTGGCTCACTGGCCCATTCTGAATGGACTGCAAGTTTTTAAAAAACATTATTTATTTCTAAGTGAATTTCCACCTTTTATTTTAATGTTTTTTAGTGCTGTTTCCGGGTTAGGAGAGAGTGACTAACAGTCAGCTGCTTGACAGACACAGCCAGCTACTACATGTGTGACGCTGGTGTATCACATTTTGTGGATCTTGAACTAATGACTGAGGAGAAAACTGGACCGTACCGGCTGGACCAGTTGGGGACCACTGTTCTAGATCCTTTACTTGAGTAAAAGAACGAATACCACACAGTAAAAATACTCTGTTACAAGTCCTGCATGGAAAATGTTCCTTAAGTAAATGTATGAGTATAATCAGTAAAGTGTAGTTAAAGTTTTAAAAGTATCAAACTGTGACTGATATATTATTATATCTGGACACAAGTTCAAAACACTTTACTTGTTATTCAAAGTGAATTTTTTTTTGTTCATGTTTCTTGAGTGTGAACAACTACAAACAAGTCTGACATAATCTCACATGTCAGCATGTCCGTTAGCATGATATTAGCTCTATTTTGCAGGGTGATGCATGTTTTTAAAATGGCAGGAGTGGGGTGATTTGAGCCAAAAGGCACTTGTGATTTTTATCAAAGTATTATTTTACTGTAATATTACGTTGCATTCGTAACACTGAACTGATGTCATTTTATATAACGTTAATTTTAGACCTAAAAGCATCACTCCACGTGTCTATAAAACAGTGACTATGATTGTTCAGAAGATGACCTGAGTGATGTGATGATGATGATGATGGTGACAAGAATCTGTCTGCTACAACTACACTGGATCTCTGAAGTCTGAGAGCTCCGAAGTCTTGGGGGTACTGCAGATGGAAAGCCCGTCTTCACACTCAAAGACAATGGTGAAGGACTGAGAGCTGATGCGCTCAAGAGACTACTGAAACCGGAAAAACTCGGTGTTGCAGCCAGACGGGAGCAGATGTTCATATTCCCCTGCAGCACTGACAGGTGGGATGTTGAGTATGAGACCAGATCTGTGAGAATTACAGGAATTTGTTCTTCATTTTGAACGCGTTTGGAAAATTTTGGCTTTGTTGAAGGAATCTGGCCTCTGAGGTTGGACTTTATCTTTAAATTAAAACTTCAAGAAGTTATTTAGTATTGGTTTCGGCTTGTTTTGTACGAGGTAAACAGGTTTCATTTTACCTTAACATAATCGGTGGAGCAGTTTACACCCTTAAAAATCACCAGAAGTAAAAACTGGCTCAACTCGCCCCGCTCCCCTCGGTTAAATATCAAACTGTAAGATAAGAATTACGACACTATGATCACTTTAAGCTGATCACAGACTACGAATGTGCTCTCGTCACAGAAAACGTACATATCATATTTTAATGTGTCACATAAAAACATGCAACGACGCTTCACATAAAACAGCATCAACACAGGAAGTGCTCTGAATCACATACTTCTTCTTTTTACGTTCAGTACTGCAGCTGCCCTTAAAAAGTACGTACTGATCCATGCAGTATGTGCACAATCAGAGCACGCTACTGTCTCATAACATCACACCCTGAACTTTGACCATCCTGCTTTCATATCCGTCACCTTGGAGATAAAACAAACAGCATGCACTTTCAAGTTCACCAGAGACGGAGTCAGTCAATGTGACGTATCATCTGCTGTGCAGAGGATTGTGGTCAGAGGAGCCAGTAAAGCAGTACATGTAGAACATCCTGGTATTTTACTACATTGAACACACAGTGTCCTCGCACACACTAAATCTTTTCCTAACAGACCCTACAGTATGTTGGTGTGGGGACGGGAATGCACAGATTATGTCATGGTCATTTAAGGTACAGTTAGTGAAATATCACCATCTTGTGGCAGCTGTCCAAAACTACAACACAGTCAGAAGACACTCCTCTTCCTCCTCTTCCTCTTAATCCTCCTCCTTGACAGTCCCCTCCCTTTTTTAATGAATTACAAATGTTTCTCCTCACCACCACTCAGCAAACAGAGCTGAGACTACGTGAGGACGATGTTCAGTGTTTCCACCCAACATCTCATCTGACACTGGTAAGCTCCCAGTCCAGCTGGGTAATACTTAACTTTTACTTCAGCTGAGTGTTTGTCCAACTGCTGACTATCAAATGGCAGTTCTGTTTGCTCTTCTTCCACAACATTTTTGAGTTTGGAGTGGAGTTAGCTTCTTATCAGTGTATTGCTTTAAGTACGTCGGCTGATGTTATTTGGATTTGAAAAGGAGAAAAGAAAAAAGAAGGTTTTATGTCAGTGTTGTTTGGGACAGCTGGAGACCACACATTGCTCGCTGTGTTTTCCCCGGGCATTGTGCCACAAAAAAAACGGTATTTTAAGCCACAATATATTTTTTTTCCAAACCACGACCAAGTGTTTTTGTACCTAAACCCAAATCAAGTTAACCACAGTGTAACATATCTGCTACATAATACGGTACAAATATAACAGATCCGTGGTTTGCAGAAACATATGACAAAAAACTAAAATAATCAATAAACAGCTGTTTTCTGTGGACTGTTGCATGCTTATGTTGTTGAGTAACGTTGTGTTCAAGGCTTTTTTACTTACTGAGGTCAATGCAAACATCAGCATGACTTAGAATGGGCTATTCTCACTTCTGGAACAGAGCTGTCAGTTTTAGTTTCATTTCAGCGCTCTAATCCTCTCATTAAGGTTTTTCTTCTGTCTTGAATCAGCACTCAGATGTTAGTATGTGCAGCGAAAGTGGTTTTGCTTGTTGAAATCATTCATGGTATTCACACTGGACCTGAAGAGATCCCAGTTTAAAGTGTTTCTATTGTAAAAGTCACGTTTTATGCCTCTGCGCGGTGATATCTGTGGCTGGAGGCGTTATGTTTTCAGGTTGGGCATCATACGTACGTCCTATCCTTGCGAACATGATATTTCAAGAACACTTCAAGGGAATTTCTTCAAATTCGGCACAAATGTCCACTTGAACTCAATGATGAACTGATTAGATTTTGGTGGTCAAAGGTCAAAAGACAAGGTCACTGTGACCTTGTCTTTCTCATTCTCGTGAAATCTCATCAACGTCTTGAGGGAATTTCCTCAAATTTGACACAAACGTTCACGTCAACTCAACAATAAACTGACTGAAATTCAATGGTCAAAGGTCAAGGTCAGTGTGACCTTGCATCTGCCTCATTCTCTTGAACACGATATCTTAAGAACACCTGGTGGGAATTTCTTGAAATTTGACACAAACGTCCACGTGGACGGAACAATAAACTGATTAGAATTGTGTGGTCAAAGGTCAAAGGTCACTGTGACCTCACTAAACTTGTTTTTGGCCAGAACCCAAGAATTCATCGACTAATTATGACAGAACTTGACACAAATGTCTAACAGGATAAAAAAAAATGAAGGTCAAAAGGTCAAAGGTCAGCTTGACTGTGACATCATCATGTTTTAACGTCATATCTCAGGAACAGAAGGGGAGACATTTGGTCAGATACTGAATTGGTGACTCTAATCCTCATCAAGTATTTGTTGATGTTAATGACTGGTTTGTAAACTGTCTATGAGTATTAATAAAATTATAAAGTATAAGACTTTGTTAAATAGTTCATGAATACTGGGTAGTGCATTTACAAGCATTGTAACTTTAAAATGACCATCTAAATACTGTTTCTAGATGGTTTACAAACAAATTATGAACCATTAACAAATTCCTAATATAGTATTTAATGTTAACAATAAACTATTAAAGATGTGACGCTGTCCTTGAAGCTTTAAGCACCCTGTATGTATCAGCCACTCTCCCTCTCCCCTGTGCGAGCTCTTGGGTGTGATGTCACCAGAGGCTTCAGGTTATCGTGGCCAGTGTCCTCTTCCTGTTCCTGACTCTGCTCTGTAACCAAGCAACAGGTAGTCTGCCACCTGCTTCCTGCCTGCTGGATTTGTTTATTTGGACTGATATCTAGTTATCACACTGTTAGCCTGTTCTGACCACAGTCTCTTTACTTCCACCTGCTCTGCCTGCACACATCTGCGCTGTGGGTCCTTCAGCTTGTTGTCTTTTGTGTTGGAGCTGTGACAGTTTGGGGTCAATTTTAAGTAAATCAAACAGTTTATCATTATCGGATTATTTACTCTATCGGTAATGATATCAGGTTTGAAAATCTAACAACAGTCGGCTGTCGACTCCAAGCACAGTCATTATGTTTCCATGCACGGTGAAGTGGAGCTACAGTCCCAGCTGGACGAGGACATCTAACTGGCCTACTGTCCTTGTCCCAGTATACAAGCACGGGAGGGGAATCCATTTATTGAGCCAAGTATGTGCGACTCCTCTATGATAGGTGGAGATATGCCCCCTTTCAGCTTGTTAGTATTGGACCTTTTTCCTGTTGACCTATTACGTCACAGACCAAACAATGGACAAACAAGTTAGCTACGGTTAGCTAGCAGCTAACTGGTACCATGGTGGACAACTTTACAGCTCTGTACATTTGGTCCGTCCAAAAAGTCACGGTTCTGGATGTAGATTTCTCCATGTTGTTACCGGCTTCTTCTTCTCTTACACATTTAATGCTATTGGACTTCCGGGTCAAAGCCCGGGGCGGAAACTGTGGAGCATGCTCAGAGCGCCTCGGCCAGTTTGGGTCTGATTGACTGTATACATGCAGGAGTCACATGATCTGGGTGTGTTAGTCCCACTGTGACACATTCACTGCAGGACCATTTCACTCACACTGACACAATGAATTGATTTCCTCAATGTCATGTTAACGCACTGACTGTATTAACTACAGTAGATGGCGGTCGTCACGCCCCCAGTTTGGAGAAACAGGCAGCAGTACAGTCATGGAAGCTCAGCAATGTACTGCCATGGACGGGGTCAGCAACAAAATATATTTAGCCACCAAAAAAAAATCAATATCAGTTAAAGTGTATGCTATATTAAGAATATTTTCACATCTTGCTGCAGACTGCATGTTACTATGGGGAAGCTTTTAACGGCCTCAGTTCCCAGTCACTGCTCTCGTCAAAGTCACCAGACTCTATTGAGAAAAACAGTAACTTTAGCCTGCTGGACACAGGAGCTGCTGGTCTACCACCTCTTAAATCAGTTGTTTAGTTTGTGTTATTGTGTGACTCTTATGAATCTGAAATAACCCTTTTAAACCCCAAAGTCACACAATAACACAAACACAGTTACTGATGGAGGCAGCGGTAGACCAGCAGCTCCTGTGGTCAGAGATGTTAAATTATTGTTTTTCTCAATGCAGTCTGACTCATAAGCTAAACAATTTTGGGAACTGAAACTGTTACATCACCCTCTTTAAAGCCAGACTCCAGCCTGCCGACTGACATCAACTGTAAAAGATCTGAACTATCCCTTTAATGTCTCTATTAGTATGTAGCAGGAAGTACAGCTCATAGGTCGGTCTGCTCTGATGTCATACTGACGTTTTTTTCTTTAGGTCGGGAAGGTTTGAGGATTTGACTTTCAAACACGAGGGGTTGAGAAGGAGCAGCGTGTGTCATCTGGAAGAGTTTAACAGGTAAGATTACTTTCAGGAAACGTGAATAAAGAATTATGGTGTACTCATGCAGAACATACCTAGACGTGATAAATGTGTTGAATTTTGAATATCCGTTAATGGATAAGTATGTGCAGTAGAGATGTGATCTGAACTGTTGTTAGATTTAATCACAAACATTTGTCCTGGGTGAGATAGGGCGTGTCTGAACTAGCCTCACAGTACTATTTAAAAGCAGGGAGGTTTTCTTTTCTTTTTATTCAGTCTTGGTACAAAACCACATGAACACTGGTGATTCGAAACAACTGAGATCGTTTTTAATCCCTCCAGAGACTTATTTTGTCAGTTAAAAGAGTATTTCAGTGCTGGAAAGATGGCCTTTTGATAAAACTAGGATGTCTCTGCAGCAGAAAGATCTAAATACTTCTGACACTGGTGCTACATGACCAGAGAAAACAGAGAAAATGGATGCTTCTGCTCAAGAGGGAGAAAACCTACAACTACCAGAATGCACTGCGCTGCACCAGACCAATAAATGCTTCTGCTGGTGGGCGATGTAATGAAAAAGCAATGCAGTCACATAATCTTGATCTATATTCGATCAACACTGCCTGGTTTTACTGTTTGATCAGTATTCAGTCTGAGTCTGAGAGAAACGGGGCGGGTCTGTCTCTTGATCCACTCCTATACTCTTTGTGTCCGCGGTGGCGGGCAAGACAAGGATGTGGAAGTATAGGCTGTTATTTGAGCAACAGCCCAAGAACCAGGGAAACATAATTCACGCCATGGACCATCATCCAGACGAAGCTCCTTGACCAAATGGTGGTACTCCCTGTGATTTCTTTTCTCTGAGGGTCTCATGTACCCACCAGATCTCTATTGTCCTTGTGTCCAATTTACTTTTTTGAAACAGCTTCTCACCTTCAATCAAGGCAAGTGCTCACTGCTTGTGCATTTTTTTAATGCAGAGTTTAAGGTACAAATTTAGGAGTTTACTTCACAGGAACATAGCAATTAAGCTAAGGAAAGGTGATTCAGTGGTTGCCAGCAACGACTTAAAAAAGATGCAGAAAGGTGCTCTGTCTGATTGAAGCAGGCTTCAGTAAAAAAAGGCAGTGTGGTGCACCTCGCGTTCTGCAACCTGAAAAATGCCCTTCATCTGATCCAGGTTAAGTTCCTGTGACTCCGAGGTTAGTGGAGCTATTCGGTCAAATACGGGTCTTTGATGATCCCATTAGAAAATATAATATCTGTGTTCGTTGTTTCACCAGAAAACCACAATGGCAACCCCTGAAGATCTTTGGAACACTCTGCAGCACCTGAAAGGTGAAGAGTTCAAGCAGTTCAAGTGGCTCCTGAAGCAAAATGACATCTGTAAAGGTTTTTCAGCCATCTCAGAGGCCAAGCTGGAAGAGGCAGACAGGCAGGACGTGGTGGATCTGATGGTGCAAAAATATAAGCTTCCTGGAGCTTTGGAGATAACCATGAAGATTTTAGAAAAGATCAGCAGGAATGACCTGGTTCAGCGTTTGTCACACACCAGTTCAACACCAAAAGGTAGGCAGAGGGAAGGTAAAAATATAAAGATCTGAGAAGTTTTACATGTATCTTATCAATGATTATATTCATTAGATATTATGTATAGTTCTTAAACAGTAATTAAGTTTTAATTTAAATCAAAGATGGCCCAAACTGATCCAAAGCATTCACATATTTTAATGGGCTGAATCTGACAAAATACAACCAGGCAAAACCTGATCCTTTTCTTTACTGAATGTACTGTGTTTTGTTCTCCTCAGCCCGCTCTCTGCAGCCGATGTCTTCACTCAGCCAAAGATCATTTCTGAGGGAAGAAGCTTCACTCTGTAACACCACTGTACAACCGACAGTGGACTGAGTGTTTCTGTAGTTCCCAGAAAAGTCCTCTCTTTAGCAGACTGTGTCACATCAATTTCATGAGTCATATTCATATTAAATCAATAACGGAAGCTCATAAACATTTTGAACCATGACGGGTCAATCATTTTCCAAACCACTGTAGATGAAACCCCGCCCACTCCCACATGACAAAAGCAAGCTGCCAGACATCAAGGCCTGATGATTGGCTGCCAGCCTACTGCTAGCCGGCACCCTTGAAAGACACTGCTGCTAGCTAGTTAGCTTACCCTCCCGGCAGTCCCTCAATCTCATTCCCCGCCGACGGGAGACTACAAAGCTGGCAGGAGAACGTTTGCTGATCCGGCAGGGGGCGGTCCTGGTATTACACCCCAGACCCCAGGGTTTCTGCTGGTTGAGTTCAAGTTGCTGCAGCCACTGAATTTCCGTCATCTACAGTGGCTTGGAAAATAGTGATATGAGAAGTTCAAGGAAAACTTAACTGATTTTAAACCAGCTCTGTCATCACAGTATGGACAGGGTGTGCTTGGCTTCCTCCGGTGCCACGAAAGCTCCACATGACGATGAGAGCTGGTTAAAAATTGGAAATAAATTTCCCTTTAACTGCTGAAACAACTCCAATATAGCTAGCTACCGCCAGTAAAAACATATAGACACAGCAGAGGTATACACATGTAAACAAGACATAATTCATAAGAGAGGTAGAGGGACGTCGAAACCAAACGTCCTGCCTCTAAGGAGAGAGATGAAAGGGGTAAGATTTCCTCAGTGTTTTTTGGCAAAGGTGTTCAAAGCCATTGATGAACTCAAGCTGCTTCACATGGCAGCCATTATATGAATATAAGAAGTGGATGTGGTTTCATCCAAAGTGGGTGGAGAAAACAATAGATGCCACAAGGACATCCAGTATTTGGATTATCATGGAAAAATAAGGCTGGCCAAATTTATTAGTCTTCAGCCGTTTTTTCAATGTATTTGATACATATTTTATCTACATTTAAGTGAATACAAGTATTGTATCAGACAATATTAAAAAAGGACTTGGATCACTGCCATAAGAAGTTGACTGGGACGTCCCAAATTAAAATACCAATTGACACAGTAAACAACAGTTCTGTAAGACTGACCAGATGTGTTTGTGTTCTTCCTTGTTTTAGACCTCAAGAACCACAACACCGTTCCTTTTAACTGTGATTATGAAAGGAAGAAGGCCAAGCTGGTGGAGATGAAGGCTGAAATCAAGCTGATGATCCAGGAGAGACAGATGAAGATCTTGGAGATCAATCGCTCAGCAGAATTCAGCAGTAAATCTGCAGACAGTCATATTGAAGACAGTATGCAGGTGTTTGCCGTTTTGCAGCAGTCTGTTGAGAGAAGTTTGGCTAATCTCATCGAGGCAATTGAAGAAAAGCACAAAAAGACACAGAAACAGGCCCAAGGATTCATCCGAGAGCTGGAGAAGGAAATCTCTGTGCTGACAAAGAGAGACGCTGAGATGGACCAGCTCTCACGCATTGAAGACCACCCTAACTTCCTGCAAAGCTTATCGTCCCTGAATGCAATTCCAGCCACCAAGAGCTGGACGGAAGTCAGTGTCACTCCACCATCATATGGGGGAAGTGTGGGCACAGCTATGAATCAGCTGGAGGAAATACTCAAGAAAGAGAAGGAGAAATTGTTTGCCAAGGCCAAGCTGAAGAGGGTCCAGCAGTATGCAAAGGATGTGACTCTAGATCCTGATACAGCAAATTCCCACCTAATTTTGTCTGACGATGGGAAACAAGTTTACTGTGGTGATGTATCACAAAACCTTCCAGACAACCCAGAAAGATTTAATCCTGGTGTAAATGTCTTAGGAAAGCAAAGTTTCTCTTCAGGAAGATTTTACTATGAGGTGCAGGTTAAAGGAAAGACTTCCTGGGATTTAGGTGTCGTCAGAGAGTCGATCAATAGGAAGGGGTCGATCACAGCAAGCCCCAAGAACGGCTACTGGACGATATGTTTAAGGGAAGGAGATAAGTACATAGCCTCTGCTGTCCATCTCAGTGTAAAACATCAGCCGAAGAAAGTAGGAGTGTTTGTGGATTATGAGAAGGGCTCAGTCTCGTTTTTTGATGTAGATTCTGCTGATCTTATCCACAGCCTTACTGACTGTTCCTTCACTGAGAAACTCTTCCCATTCTTCAGTCCCAGTCGTCATTGTGATGGCAAAAACGCCACCCCTCTGATCATCTGTCCTGTTAATTACACGGGTTAGATTTGATCAATCATCAGAGGGTTTCATCATAACCGTAGCCACAAAAAGTTACTCTGTGGCCAGCAAATATCCCCTGTAAGAGCAGCCCCTGTGACCACTGAATTTAATCACGTCTCTCTTGAGAAAGAGTGTGTCTCAAATCGTATTTTTTTTTTTTTTTTAAAAAAGCGAATAGCAAATGGACAGTAGTAGCCTGGTTCCAGACCATAGACCCCGCCCACTCAACTGAGTAGGCTTGCATCTCTGGTCTGGCATACTTCAATGAATTTGCAATTTATCTCGTCCAAAAGATGGAAGGACCAATGAACGCCGGGGGTCTAGCGATTAGCCAATCAGCGCCACGCTGATGTCAAGCTGTACGCCGGTGGGTAACTGGTGAGGATAGCAACAATGGCGACCGCTACAGATCCTACAGACCACATTAATGATGCTATCGAGGTATTTCGCCACTACTCGCGTTAATGGAGGACCAAATTAAGGAAGCTGCTAAACTGGATTTAACAGCGATGCAGCTGGGCGTGCACGACGACGGAGACATTTTAAACGTGCAATGCTCACTTGCTTTCGGCACCCCCAAGGCATGTATACTAATGACGTCAGATTCTGGGTGAGTCGTTGATCTCTACTGATTGGTTAGGGAAAAATCAAATTCCCTCCCCCTTGTAAATCACCTTCAATGGAAGCCATGTCAGACTGAAGGTTCTGGGAGCTTCAGTCTGACACTCAGGCTAGGATGGTAGAGCATTATCGCCAATATTTGACTGCAACGATAAAGGCTTTGGGGGTGAGGGCCAATATCTTTGGCAGACCTGGTGAAGCCAGCGGACATCCCAACCAAGTCTTTCTCTTCCGTGTGCCGGCCATTATGGCGAATCTCTGTTAACACATATTGGGATATGAATGCTGATACATTTTTAAAAAGCTAACTCCACGATAGCTGATCAGTTCTGAGATTGCATTTCGGCTAATGTGTTCTGCCTCTGGACTGCTTACCTGCCGTTCAAATGTGATTGATCAATAATACTTGGACTACAAACGGACTACCGAGACACCTTATGGAAACCAGAACACTTTCAATACTAAAATCTTGTTCAGTTGCCCACAGATCCCTCCTTAGGTTACAGTTTCACAAACATTGCGATTCATTTGCTCCTTTTAGATCAACATTCTACGAGAACAGCGAACAGTACTTGACGCCAGCTAGCCAGGACTCGAGACTAATGGCATCCCGTTGTCCCGCTGATGAGGGAGGGTGTGTTTAAGTTGAACAGAAATCTTCCCTGGATCCAGGACATAAGTACTTTTTGTATATATGTTTAAGGCTGCTGTGAAACTGCTCAAAGTGCAAAAAAGAAGATAAAAAGTGAGTAAAAACAGCAAACATTTCAGTCTTTAAGCACCGATGATAGTGACGACTGAAACGTTTGCTGTTTTTACTCACTTTTTATCACTGTTTTTTCACTTTGAGCACCTTTTTTGTGCACAGATGTCTTAAATAAACAGAATATTTTTACATTGGTGTGCAGGAATCTCCTCTGCCATCCTTTCTTGTATGCATGTGTAATGATCGCTTAGCCAGTGACAAACTGAGTGACTATAATGAAGCGTGTCTTCATGCTGTTATCACTGGGAGAAGAGTAGTTAGCTGTTAGCAGCAGATGGGCAGCAGGGTTTGGTGGTGTTTGGCTGAGCTAACAGCTAATGGAGTGAAACACAGCATGACTGAGAGCTTCTGGTCAGATGAAAGGGTTTATAATTATGATGATTTCTGCCTGGTTATTTTATTAACTTGTTTTTGTATATTACTGCTTTGCTTGATTTTTTTATGAATGGATACATCGTTCTTGTTTTTTTTAGTAGCATATTTTTACAGTGTTTTGTAAGGTGTCCTTGGGTGCTCTGAAAAGCACCTATAAAAAAAAAGCATTATTATTAATAAACAGTGAAGCTCAGTTTAATGTGACAGCAAGACAAGTTTACTGTAAGTAAATGTTAATGTTAGTGAAGTACTTCAGCTGTGTGCAGTTTGGAGGCAACATTAAAGGTACTTTGAGTTTGGAGTTAGACACTTTGAGTTAGCGTATCTCACCAAACTTCTGCCAGAGATAAAAGTAAGTAACCAGATACATTTACTCGATTCTGTACTTAAGTACACTACTGAGGTACTCTGACAATAAGAAGTTTATGTAGCTGTTATAGATTATTAAGTGTTTTACATAAAATCAATGCAAAACAATCAGAAACAGAAGTTTAATTAAATATAATCAAAATCAATCCTGTATCTTTTTGCACGCCTTTTTTTTTTTTTGAAAAGCTTGCAAAACAAACATGATTATCTATTTAGAAAAAGAGAGAGATGACAGGTCGCTCTGTGAAATCAAATGTAGATCAAAGTAGAAAACGAGGAAAGAAGAATTAAAAAGCTTTTATTGTAGCGGCTAAATCATTAAAAGAGCCAACATGTTTCAACCACTGCAGGTCTTCATCAGGGCTTTAAAACACTTTTTTTTATTTTATTTTATTAACTAGTTATTTTCTAATTATTTTGCATTTGTTTCACATGTCATGTCATTATCTGGGTCATGTGATGGGCTCCAATTGGTTCCTGATACAGGTGGGGCCACACCTGTATAGTAGCTTTTTAAGGCTAGGCTTTTTAATATTTCCTTCCTCATTTTTATGTTTTTGGAGTATCTTACTTGCCTTACTGTGTATCCCATATTTATCTATTTCCTTAACATTGTGTTTTTATTATGCAGCTAAAAATAAAGATCATATTAATGAAGTGAAAGACTGAACTAAGAGACTGTGAGAAAACATAAGTTTACAACAATATTTTATTCTGGTGATGTCTTGTCATTTATTGGAGTATCACAGTTAAGAAAGGCGGTGTTTAGTTGTGTTAAATTTCCTTTTCTGTAGGCTTTTACATATGTTTACATTTAGGTAATCAAAAATGTTCTTTGGCCACCAAATTAAGGGGCTTGGTTGCCCGTGAGGCCAGTGCTTGAAGATATTGGCGTATATCCCTGATCATAATCTACAATTTATGAAACATCACAAATTGCAGCCTAAAGCAATTGTGAGGTTCATTCAATTAGTTCATAATTTGATAATGTTAAACAAGAATGTAGGAGGTGAGGGAAACACCCTCAAACTGTCAGATAATGTATTGGGGTTTGGGTGTAGTACCAGTGTATGGCCACTAGATGGTGCCACTTTTTTACAGGTGTGTCCGTGCTGCATTGATCAGCAGCCGGCTGCAGTTATTTCTCTGGAGGAAGGAGCTGATATGTGCATATGATGAATACTGTCAAATAAACAAACAATGTTAAAAACTCTTCCTTTTTGTCTGTTGACTTTCTGAGTTAGCAACTGTTACAGAAACAATGCTCAACCTCAAAGGAACTAAAATCTTCATTCATGAGGACTACACTGACTCAGTCAGGCAAAAAAGGAAAGAACTCACGACGAAGTTGAGAGCAGCACGAGAGAGAGGAGACATTGTCTTCCTCAGACATGATAAACTGGTCATCCACCCTCGCAGCAGCACTCCCAAGCCGTCTAGAGACACTTAATGGCATGACTGATCAGGGATTCTCTCTCAGATCTCTGTCTCACATCCTATGGCTGAAACCGGACAAAGAACTAAAAATTGCACATGTAAACATAAATAGCATCAGGAACAAATTACATGAAATTCTCTATAATGATAATATACAAATACTAGCAATATCTGAAACACACTAAGAGATTTGAAGACAGTGCTTTAAACATCAAGGATTACAACATATACAGAAGAGACAGGTGTCGCATTCTTCATTCAAGAATGCATACCTACAAAAATTAGAGAAGACTTGATGAACTCTGAAATTGAAGTACTTTGCTGCAAATACATGTGCCTCATCTAAAACCAATGTTAATAGCCTGCTGCTACAGACTGCCAAAAGCCAACACTATGTACTCAGATCAAATATGTCAGATGGTAGACTATATCAGTGTTATGGGTCAGGAAATATATTTCACTGGTGGATTTAATATTGACTGGTTCGCTCAAAACTGTTCACAAAAAAAACAAACTGTTAAGTACTACTACTACTAAATCCACAAGGACATGTCTTAGAAATGATGGCACCAAGAGCTCAACATGTATTGACCCCATTTTCACAAATGCTCCTGAAAAAAATGTCTCACAACTTTTTCAGTGCCTATTGGCTGCAGTGATCATAACATGGTAGCGGTCGTAAGGACGGCAAAAATTCCAAAAACTGGACCCAAAATAGTTTTAAAAAGATCATATAAAATGTTTAAAGCTCAATGTTTAACAGAAGAGGTGAAGAACATAAGCTGGGAGGAATTCTAAAAGAATGTAACCCAAACGAAGCTCTGAACAAATTTGAAGAATTTCTAACGCTGGCAGTTGACAGACACACTTCTCTCAGAAAACTTACAATTAAAAACACCAGTACACCCTGGTTAGATCACGAAACCAAAGAGCACATGAAAAGAAAAAAAGAGATCAAGCAAAGAAAACTGCAATACTAACGGGATATGAGTATTGAATAATTTAATAACAGACTTTCAACACGCATATCGTAAGGGTCACTCCACAACATCAGCTCTAACTCAACTGACAGACGACTGGCTAAGGGAAATAGATAAAAATAAACTAGTTGGTGCTGTTATGCCGGATTTCTCACCAGCATTTGACCATATTGACCATAACTTGAAAAAAGTAAAGTAAAAGTACAGTTTTACATCAAACATTAACACAGCATTATTCTGACTGAAGCAATCCCAGTAACGCAAGATTTATAAATGTTGATCCCATCTTGTATCAACGTTACCAGATCACCACGAGATTATATAGTGGGACAATCACTCAGCAGCACAAATACTGTTGCAATGTTTTCTTTCTTGGAATTACATGGTGGGGTCATGTTGTGTTCAAGAGCCGTACGCGTGAGTATTCACAACTGCATTAAGTTCTCTTTGCATTGATCTTGTACTAAAGAATGAGTCTGTTACATTAAGGGAGCAATGTATTATGGGTTCATTAAAGTGTAAATGTTGAAGTTTCTTCATGTCTGTCTACAGTATGTCTGCTACAGCTAGACCAAAATATAACCTGAAGGCCTGGTTAACAGTGAACAGGTGTTTTCAGATGAGATGCGTTTCGTTTGTACAGAGGAAATACATTTCTGATGTAAAGCAGCTCAAAACTATATCAAAACATCAATTTACAAACTCTCACACAACTCGTGCAGAATAATCCAAGTCTCATTTATCCAGTCTAAAGCTCAGTACTCCGTACCTTACAAATTAAAACTGAACTTAAAGTAAAACCTATTCTCTCTCCAAAGCCAGGTTCCAGTATCAAGGTTTGCTTGTGTTTGTGAAGTACTGAGCATACGGCTGGATAAGTGAGACTTGGATTATTCTGCTAGAGTTGTGTGTTTTCAAATGGATCTTTTGATATAGTTTTTGTTAAACTTGGTCAATCAGTAAATCAATATGTTGGTCGTTTTTCCATGGAGGAATACCAGAACATTTTCTTTCCAAATTCAAGGTAACACGGCGTGACTAATTTGTTTACAAATGCTCAATTTGAGGGTGAAGTATTCCTTTAATAAAAAGATAAATGTGCCTTGGAAGTATTTTATTGGTAACGTCCTTTTGAAAAAGAAAACCAAAAATAAGATTATTTTTTTTACCACCCAGTACAAAATCAACTTTGCCCCCCAACTAAAATTAGGCCCCAAAACTTTGTGTTATAATGTATAGTATTGAGTATAGTATGTGTGAATAGCTGATGGATGAGAAACACATTTTTGTTTAACATACACTACTGCTGTAATCAGCTGGTTTATGGTTTCTTTCCTTTAGCAAGGAACCTTTTCAAAAGAGACTCATTCAGACACCAAGTTTACATTAGAAACAGTCTGGCTTCAAATCAAAGAGAATGAAATGACTGACAGTGTTATCCCCAGAGTAACCTCAGGGTTCCCACATTTTTTTATCAATGAATCTTCAAAACTTTTCCATAATATTTCACCTCATTTCCACCATTTTATTTAAGTAGTTTAAAATGAGTAGGCCCATATAGCAATACATCCTTGCCAACTTTAATGGCGTATTAGCAGGCCCAAACAGAATCCGCAGATTTTGTAATTGTTTTTTTAGGGGTGATACAAAAATGAGAATCTGCAAAATTCTATAGATTTTTATTTATTTATTTTTGTGACAACATTGATGTATGACAATGGAGTTTGAACAAAATAACCTCACATAATACATTAAAACCTAAAATGATTTTAGTAGAAATTTTGACTCAGAAGTTTTATTTAATCATGAATACTGCAAGAAAAATATTTAAACATTTGTTGGAAAAGTCAATCAACAAAATGTGGGACACATGGCTGTTAAAATGTAAAGTTAAATATGGAAAATCAATTTGCTGATCTATTAACAGCAAATCTTTTTTCTGACATTTCTTCTGACTACACCACAAGCTTTGATTACAATACATGATGACACACTGACAACATCCTGAGTTTTATAAGCAGCATCTATATTCCCAAAATCTGTTGTCATCAGAGTTCTGCAGGCGCAGATTCTGTATGGGCCTGCTTATTAGATATTCCAGCTGCCAACTAGCTGCATATGCCAACAGATCAGACCAGCAGATACTGGTACTTCACAAAGTGTCAGGACAGGAAATCAAAGATCCTGTCGCTGTCTGTCATTTGATGGATGTTTGGATATTAATTTTAACAAGTTTGTACATTTTTCTTGGACAAGTCTAATAATTGTTTTGCAACCCTGACTGAACCTAAGTGTTTGCAAAACCTTGATAAATTAAATATAATTGCTGTCATGTCCCATGAAATTTGTACATTACATTGAATCAAATATGGCGATGACATAATGACGATGTGCTTAATGTGCATCACATGATTCGAGTGACGTTTTGATGGTCAGGCAGCTCAAGACCAGATTTTACACTAGTAAATCTATGAACGTGTTTCATGCAACATTGATAGATGTTTTGTTTTTTGTTTTTTAACATATTTTAAACAATAACCAAAACAATCTATTTTAAAAACTTTTCAAAATTATTTTGTTAATTCCAAATCCTGCCCAGGCCTGGACAACAAATTTTAGTTCAATAACTTTTCCAGTAATTTAACGACCATGGGAACCCCACCAATCTCTTTCTATCGTGACGTCTGAAGAAAAGCTCTGCTGAAGTTAATTCCAGCTTGTTAAAGGTATTATTGTGCATCTGGAAGTGAAACAGGAACCTTTTCTTCTTTTAATCTGCACACGTTTTGATGCTAAGCTTCAAGTTTCCTTTACACATAACTGTGACAGGGGGAGGAGGAGATCCACTCACTCGCTCTCCACCCCACTTCCTGTTACAGGGAGTGGAGTAGATAGGCCAAACAATAACTGCATCTCATCGACTACATGACGCAACCGCACAAGGCCATTTTAGCACGGTACACTAGAACCGTTAAAAAACTCTTCATCTGTTGTTCATCTTTCTGAATCTGACGGACTCTGTGCTGAATTCAGTTGGGTGAGTTTTTGATAACTACTTTTTTTTTTGCCATATTGTTTGAATGGATATTAGATGTTTAGTTTCTGCTATGTTTCAGGTTGTATCTTTAGTCATCATCCCTGCTGTTTACTTTGTATTTTGGGGAAATGACGGTCTCTACTTTATTTCTGCCCTACAATCAGCAGTGTAAAATCACCCCAGTCTAGACAACAGGTAATAATTTCATATTATTATGAGTTTTAAACTCCAACTCATCAGACAGTGGTGCTACAGACACAGAATTCAAGTTGTACAAGAGAATAATTCTGCATGAGTTGTTGAAACGTTTTCACATCGGCTGATTGTTTCCAGTAAATCAGATCATGTTGCCGTTTTAGTTGGTTACTTTCACGTTTAAACACACATTAAAATGTGACAAAAAAAAGTTTCTGTGGAAGTTCTCATGTTACATAATGTCTTGGCCTATCATTGGACCCTGCAGTAGGTATCAGTCTGAGTCATAATTCATAACAGATTACAAAAAAGGTTGGGACGCTGTCGCTGTGCAAAACAAACAGAAACAATTAAATTATTAGCAAATCCTGCACTCAACTGAATACAGTCCAAAGACAAGACATGTATTGTGTAATTGTAAAAATACTTTATACACTCATTCTGAATTTGATGCCAGCAACATGTTATAATAAAGTTCGGGTTGGCACATGTTCACCACGGTGTCAGTAAGCATTTGGGAACTGAGGACCCTCATTACTAAAGTTCCTTCACCTGCCGACGGGTCAGGCAGCCCACAGGAACTGTAGAAACAGGAAGCAACTAGCGTTTCGAAAGTGGTCTCAGCCACTTCTGTCTGGGGCTGCAATGACAAGGAGAGGCCTCAGAGAAGTTCAGTGACATTACCAAAGATTTCAACATATTCAGACAATTTACCATTGAAATGACTGGAGGCGTCGAGTTTCAGCTCAGGAGTGTAAAAATAGCTTTGCTCATTAAATACGTTTCAATAAATTCCGTAAAGCATTTTATGTTTTAAATGTGCAATATAAATAAATTTGCACTGCCTGTCTGGTTTTATCAGATAGCTCAACCAGAGGAAACTGGATGGTCTTCTAATACTCATACTGAAAAACATCTTCTGTGCTGAATTGTCTCTACGAAAGACACTGAATACCTGATGCTCTCCTAATCAGCAGCTGACCTCTGACCTCTGAGTTTTATATCCAGGAGTGAAAATGTCAGTGCATTATCTAACCATTATTACTTTCATGTCTGGTTTTCACAGGCTTAACTGTACCCCGCAGTGTCCAGTGTCATCAACTGGCCATTCATGACCTCCATTTTTTGATGACGTCTAGCTCTTGTTCCTTTGGAGTTTGAAGCCACGAACTGTAAGTTGCTTTGGAAAAAAGTTTCTGCCAAATAAATTTAATGTAAGTAGGATGAACGTGTGGATTGGCACAAGTTTTACATCAGTAAAATGTAAAAAACAAACAAACAAACAAACAAACAAGACTGATCCATTTGTTAAATGATAGATGAATTGAATTGGTGATGAGCACCTGCAACAGGTGCACCTGTGAAGTGAAATAAGATGGGATAAATAAATCATTCCCAAAAAACAGAACATATTCCTTTGATTGAAAATTTCCCTTTTTTCAGCAGGTAGCCATAATGGCGAAACTTAAAGAGGAGCTCTGGAAAACTCTGCATGATTTGAAGGAAGATGAGTTTGAAAATTTCAAGTGGTTCCTGAAGGAGGATGGCATCCTGGAGGGGTCGTCAGGCATCCCTGTGTATCAGCTGGAGAAGGCAAAAAGGCAGGACACGGTGGATCTCATGGTACAAAAATATCCAGGTTCTGGAGCTCTGAAGGTAACCTTGAAGATTTTAGGAAACATCGACAGGAATGATCTGGTGCAGCGCCTTCAAAACTTCCGCTTGGAGCCAAGAAGTGAGTTGGGGGAAGGTGAAAATAAGAACATCTGAAACACAGACATGTCAAATTCATCTAATAAATTTGATTACGGTGCTCTGATACCAAGTAGATTCATGAACTGCCTTATGAACAGTCAGTGTTTTTCATTAACTAGTCCGTGGCTTCCAAACAAGTCCAGTAACAAAGCGCTTCTCAGGTTTGGATTGCAAAAGCCGTTCCTCCCAGTCAACCAAACCACCAAGTTTCATTGTTGTCACCCACACAAGTTTTAATTCCCTTGCAGGAGATGTGTGCCTTACTCTGTCCAACGTAGCACCTTCTCCAAGGCAGAGTACTCTGAACTGCTGTACAATAAGTAGAGACATATATCAGTATCTTTGCGCGTGACTTCCACTCAGAGAAAATCCTCTTGTTCAAAAACTCAATGATCTCCCACACAATACCTCCCATCACAGGCAACTCGCTGGGCGCACCTGACTCCGTCTTAATTAGCACCTCTCTAAGGCTGTGTAATCTGAATTGCTGTCGGATGAACAGACAAACAGGCACAGATATCAGTGTCTTATTTCCTTCTCTTGCTCTCTGGGTAAAACTTAACCACCTCCCACCCTATACCTCCTGCCTCAGGCAACTCCAGTGAGAAGAGTGTAGCCTCATCCAAACATTTATTTCCAGCACTGTGTGTAGAAGCCAGCCCATCCAGATCTAATTGCTGTCACTTTACCTCCAGCAACATGTCCGAGTCCTTTCCCACCAGAAAGGTTACATAACAAACACCAAAAGTGGTTTTCCAAAGCTGAACGTCTACATGCCAAGACCTCTACTTTTGTCTGGCAATGCACCAAACCCTTCACACCCTTCTTGTGAGTGGTGAGCCTGCAAAGCTGCGACCCCCAAGACCTGCCGATGCAGGTGCAGGTCCCGGTGCCCAGGCCTCTGCTAGTCCAGCACAAGCTTGTTTTGTCACTTACAAACCAATCAATAAAGGCTCTTGAATCACTCATGATCGGGCCCTTGAAAGTCCTTGAAAGACACAAAAACCCTACCACAACAATGTGGTGGTAATTCTCTGAGATGACCCAAAGTATGATTTATGATGAATAATTTCTAGCACCTTGAGCAAACGGAGTATTGCACTCCTCTTAAATTGGTTGCTGCTTATTGATTATACATCAATGGCAGCACCTCAAATTAAGAGTTAACCAAGCTTATCAGGCCTCTGTCTTCAGACTGATGGATGCTTTTAACGCTCAGGAATTTGGTTTGCCACAATGACAGGCACCAACAACCTCCTGCCCAAAGCTCCAAACAGCGGTCGCCAATGGAGGCTTTAAAGGGGGGGCCACATAAGGTTTATGTCACCAACAGTCCATGAAAGCAGGAAAAGTTCCTGTGGAAATGGTTGTTGAAGTTTTTTGATGTGGGGTCTGGGTGTTTTTAAAACCTGCACCACCCATCGGTGTGAGAGCCTATTCACACTGCACAACCCACAAAAATATGCATTGACCAAGACATCAGTCAGCCTCTAGAGTACTGTATATATACTTGGTAACACAAAACAAATAGGATAAAGGAGCCCACCAGCAGATGGAGACATGAATACCGTTCAATGTATGTAATATTCATTCATTGTGCAAAATAAGAAAAAACACATTGGCTAATTCTGATAGCTCATTTTAAAGCCAATATCGGCCCATACCGATGACGTGCCGTCATTATCATGCATCCGTAGCTTTTATACTAATGAAGTGTCCCATTTTCCTGGATTTGCTTTGTGGGGAAAAAAGAATATATACTCTTTTTGAGGCAGGAAAATCAACTACATTTTAGAGCAAGATAAATACATCTGTGTTTTCTTTTAAACTCTACAGTATATCCCTAGCATGTCTAGCCTACCATGAAAAGAGTACAAGATACAATTAGGTAAGAACTTTACATTTTATTAATAAGTCTGTGTGTCTGTTTGCTCTCTGTCTTGTTTTAGATGGTGCTAAGAAAGAAGAGTATAAGGGAGAGAAGCCCAAACTCCAGTGGGTGCAGCAGTTTGCAGTGGATGTGACTCTGGATCCTGATACAGCACATCCTCACCTCATCCTGTCTGCTGATGGGAAACAAGTACGCCATGGTGACGTGAGGAAGAAACTCCCAAACAACCCTGAGAGATTTCACAGATGTGTGAACATCTTAGGAAAGCCGAGTTTCTCGTCAGGAAAATTTTACTACGAGGTTCAGGTTAAAGGGAAGACTGCCTGGGCTTTGGGAGTAGCCAAAGAATCAATCAAGAGGAAAGTCCAGATCACAGCAAGTCCAGAGAATGGCTACTGGACCATAATGTTGACAAATGAAGATGTGTATGAAGCCAATGATGATGATCCTGTCTGTCTGTCTCTGAATCAGCCTCCTCAGAAGGTGGGTGTGTTTGTGGACTATGATGAGGGTCTGGTCTGCTTTTATGATGTAGATTCTGCAGATCTTCTCTACTCCTTCACTGGCTGCTCCTTCACTGAGAAACTCTACCCATTCTTTACTCCTTTCACTAATGATGGTGGTGTAAACTCTGCCCCTCTGATCATCTCTCCTGTCAATCACCCACTGAACCTTAAGATGCATGACTTTGATTGTCAAACAGAAGAACATGAAAGAAAGAAGGCTGAGCTGAAGAGCCTCCAGCAGTTTGCAGTGGACGTGACTCTGGATCCTGATACAGCACACCGTGCGCTCTTCTTATCTGCTGACGGGAAACAAGTGCATGATGGTGATGTATGGAAGGAATTGCCAGACAACCCAGAGAGATTTAACAGATGTGTGAACGTCTTAGGAAAGCAGAGTTTTTCATCTGGAAAATTTTACTATGAGGTTCAGGTTAAAGGGAAGACTGCCTGGACTTTAGGAGTCGCAAAGGAGTCGATCCAAAGGAAGGGACGCATCACACTGGATCCTAATAATGGTTTCTGGACTATTTGTCTGGAGGATAGAGATCATTACCAGGCTGTTGATGACCCTTTCGTTCATCTCTCTCTGAATCAGCCTCCTCAGAAGGTGGGAGTGTTTGTGAACTATGACGAGGGTCTGGTCTCCTTTTATGATGTAGATTCTGCAGATCTTCTCTACTGTTTTACCGGCTGCTCCTTCACTGAGAAACTCTACCCATTCTTCAGTCCCTGTACTAATGATAATGGTACAAATTCTGCCCCCTTGATCATTTGTCCTGTCAGTGACTTCAGTGATCAGGAAGAACATGAAAGAAAGAAGGCTGAGCTGATGAGCGTCCAACAGTTTGCAGTGGATGTGACTCTGGATCCTGATACAGCCCATCCTAATCTCATCCTGTCCGATGATGGGAAACAAGTACATCATGGTGATGTGAGGAAGAAACTACCAGACAACCCAGAGAGATTTTACAGATGTGTGAACGTCTTAGGAAAGCAGAGTTTCTCCTCAGGAAGATTTTACTACGAGGTTCAGGTTAAAGGGAAGACTGCCTGGACTGTGGGAGTCGCCAAGGAGTCCATGGAAAGGAAAGAAAGTATTACAGTGAGTCCTGAAGGCGGTTTCTGGACCATGTGGTTGAGGGATGGCAACAGGTATGAAGCTAATGATAACCCGTCAGTGCGTCTCTCTCTGAAGTCTAATCCTCAGAAGGTGGGAGTGTTTGTAGACTATGACGAAGGTCTGGTCTCCTTCTATGATGTAGATGCCGCAGATCTTCTTTACTCCTTTACAAGCTGCTCCTTCACTGAGAAACTCCTTCCATACTTCAGTCCCTGTACTAATGACAATGGTACAAACTCTGCCCCTCTGATCATTTGTCCTGTTAGGCACAGTGTTTAATCACACTTGCAGGTGTTTCAGTTATTCTAGTTGGAGTTCTGCTCAGCTTGGCCAGAGTTAAGCTGCAAATCACAGCAAGTCACTGAGCCGAACATACAGCAGATATAAGAATAATAAATGTCTATATTGTCTCATCTTAAAGCACATTGTAAAGGTTTTAAATTGTTCTGATACTACATTTTGAAGAGAAGGTCTGACTTTGGAGTATCTTGTAGTCCATTAGTACAAAGGCACAGATGGACGCACTAGACTGCAGCTCAGGCTGCAACCCAAACTGGACCCGAGCCAGAGAGAGTAGTAACCGAGCCTGACCTGAACCCGACA